ATTGTTCGGTACAATTTATTCGGTCTTTTCGCTTATTCGGTTCGGTTGCCGAACATTCGGTGCATCCCTAAATATAAATTCACGTCTCGCGCACTTTAATGCCCTTCGATTGTAACGTGTACATTCCCTTGGAACTGGAAACATGGCGGAATTTCATGTGAAGTCCACTTCGCAGGGCACTTATGGTCGAATAAGACAACGCTTGAATGCTGCTGCCTGAACAAGAGACCTCCTTACTGAAGTGAAAGTGTTGACTGGGGGTGGTCTTGTTCGAAAGCGGGCCTCTAAACGTACACTCGATTCGCGTTCGAGAGGATTCCTCGAGCTGAAGGGATCCCCAGAATTTGGTGCGGATTCGCCACACCGTTATGGAGATATGGCCGTTCAAAGTTTTAACGGTTTTCCATAGACTTAAGCTGTAAAGCGTTTCATCCAGGTCGCCAGAAGCAAACAATGGAGCGCGCTCTGCTGGACAAACTAAGTAATTACAACATTTCAAGCATTTTATCTGCGTTATATGTTCTGTAAAAAAAATTTCATATCGGCGGCATATTCGCCGATACCGATATATCGGCGACAGGCTCATATTGGCCGATAATATCGGCAAAACGATATATCGGTTGGGCTCTAATAAAAAGGCACACATTTTCCATCTAAATTTCACAAAAAGAGGAAACCAAAGATGCCTAGCAGTACACACATCACGTGAATTAAATTATTGCTATTTGCAATTGTTCAATTTGATAATAATAATAATAATTTAATAATTGTTAATTTATGATACACCTTGTTGTACCTGTGATTGTTGATCAGTTAGTACACTGTAAGAAAAATATCTAGAAAAATGGAAAAGGTAGGCTTCTAGTAATTTTCCAGGACATTATCCGTTATCCATTATCCGTTGTAACCCTTTAACCCGAAACACAAAATACAATGCGTAATTTAAAATGCAGGTAAAAACCTGTGAATTATTTTCTTAGAGTGTAGCATACTGACTACTAACACACTGCTTAAAACTAATTGTTCCGAATGTGTAGTTTCACTAGTTTACTAGCTAATAAAAAAAAAAACTTGTAATAGTTCAAAAATGTGTAAGTGTTCAATAATTCAATGTTGTATATAAAAATGGTTATTTATATTTTAACATTATATTATGCATTTATATTATTTTACGAACAAATCTAAATGAACATATAAAAATATATTTTTTACTGAGATTTGATGTAGTGACACAATTTTGCGTTGTGATTACGTAATGACGTCATCACGCAATGACATCACAACGTCATTTAGCAACAAATCGACCTTCCTTTTGCAACTTCCCCTGAAAATTAGTTGGCAACAGTGGCTGTAATATCCAATGTACAATAATCTTTAATACGTTTCTTAGAAGTGGACTCACTGAAAGTTGACTTTGTCAACTTGAAATTGCGTCTCAAAAATCCCTGATGTTAACACTCTGCAGCGAAGCAAGTCCTGAAAGAAGAACGATTGAGTGAAAGTGTGTTAGGGGAGAACAGTTTTTGGAAAATAAATGTCTCGCATGCAGTTTCTCATCTACAGTACCTGGTCTGTTGGAGTATAGTCGCTTTGTCTTACTGCATCAATCCGGTCAAGAAAGCTGTAAAGACAAAGATGAAGAAAAGCATGAAGAAAAAAAGCATTTTTGGCTCTTACACAATTGAAATAAAAATAAAAATTTTTTTTTTTTTTTGGAAACCTTGATGAATAGAAATTCACAATTTCACATTTATTTGAAATAATCTTATTTTTATTTACTGACAACTTTGATCAATTTAATGCATCCTTACCGCATTTCTTTCAAAAAATAAAAAAAATAAAAATCTTACTGACCCCAAACACAACATACAAACACCAATAATCTTAAGCTAAAAAGCACCTTCAAAAACCGCTTCATTGTGTCTCAAATGTGACTTTGTTACTTTCATCATCTCAGACAGTATTAAAAATGGCAACAACTATCAATGAAGAGCCGCCGCTCTTATTCTAATAATGCTCTTTTGAAGGTCTAGATATACCTGTTGCTGTATCAAATATATTCACAGAACCTGATCTGAACCCATGAAAGCATCCCTACAGCAAGTACGCAGCTGAAGTATGTTAGATAACAAGCCCATGTCTTTCTCTTACTTCCCTGCAGAAAGGCAGAATATTAGCCCAACACTCTGTGACCATTATGTGATATTAGTGCTATCAGTACTAACGGAGACTAATATAGACTCATCCCACAAGCTTGTGACAAGACAATCTGTAACGACATTACCCACCCCCCCCACACACTTTTTTTTAAATAAATAAAAAAGATAAAATGATAAAGGGAAAATAGGTTTATGTGGAGATCTCGACTCTTGCTTTTAATTTTTATGTGATATTGAAGCATTTCTTTCAGATGTGAAGTATAATATACTATGATTATGGACTAATGATCAGGGCATTCATTTCTAACACATTCTAGTCAAGTCATAATATATATATATATGAAAAAATAATACTTTTATTCAGCAAGGATGCATTAAATTGACCAAAAGTAACAGCAAAGACATTTAGAATGTTACAAAAGATTTCTATTTTTCTTCTGAACTTTCTGTTCATCAAAGAATCATGAAAAATGTATCACAGCATAACTGTTTTCAGCATTAAAAATAAAAAATGTTTCTTGAGCAGCAAATCAGCTTATTAGGATGATTTCTGAAGGATCATGTGACACTGAAGACTGGAGTAATGATGCTGAAAATTCCGCTTTAAAGGCAGGGTATGTGATTTCTGGTAGCCAATGTTGATATTTGAAATCACCAAAACAAACACGCCCCTACCCCCAAAAGGTTCTTGCCCCTATTTTGATAGCTCCGCCCCACATATACGTACGCAACCCAGGCAACGATTAGTTCTGTGAAACAAAGCAAAACTAATGTTACACCGTGTCTACGGACGTGAGCGGCGCGGCGCGGCGCAACAAATCCCCGACAGAAAGCTGCTGCCGGGTTCTATTTATGACGTGCTGACAATGTTGTTTGATCGCGTCCAGTGTAGGCAGACTTTAGCTGTTGTAGACACGGTGTTACTCACCTATTGAGAAGAAACAAAGCAACCTCGGCGTCCGATTGCAGGCCTCCGCTCCTTGAGTTCTCTCCAGCGCTGGAAAGCTGATCCGATATTTACACGGGTCCTACTTCTTGCCTTATCGTTCCGCAGACGGTTTCCTCTTTTGTTTTTTATCCGCCATCTCTATCTTTCTGTCGCTCGGCTCGGCTAATGTCCGTCCCATGCACTGAAAGCTCTCTCCTCCACATCACGAGTAGACACGCCCCTTATTGCTGATTGGCTACAAGTTTGTTTTGCTATTCGGCCCGAATCATTTTTCTAAAGTGTTTTTGAAAAATCACATACCCTGCCTTTAAACCACAGGAATAAATACATTTTAAAGTTGATTAAAATAAATAAACAGAATAAATAATATTTTATTATTTTATTATATATTGTTTTAAATTGCAATAATATTTCACAATATCACAGTTTTTAATGCTTTTTTTTTTGATGATTAAAAAAAAGCCTTGGCGCACATAGACTTATTTTAAATATTTAAAATAATATTCTGGGTTAAATACATGCCACAGAAAAACAAACAAAACAAAATTATTTTTAGTGCAATAAATATATTACATTTTTTCCATTAAATATTCAATACCACTTATTGATCTAATAAAAGTCTTTCATATTTACCTGATTATATTATCTTTAATATTGTAAATTAAACCTTGGGTGACACTGATTGTTTTGTTACTTTATTTTTAAAAACGTGGTGAGGGCCGATGAGTCCAGGTTCTAATCTGACCTAATAGAACATTGTACATCAGTATTTTATATCAGGAGCAGAGACGCATTTCTTTACATTTTGTTTTGTGGTTTCATTAGAACAGACAGCGATGCATGGAAAAAACAACAGACTGGAACAAGAACACTTCATCATTTGAACATTATTGCTTTTAAAAACTGATAACAACCTCAACAACCGGTCAGCAAAGCATTACAAACCACAAAATCCAGCACTAGATCTCCACTCATAATAAAAACACTGAGTGACAACAACTTCTGCTTGTCAGCTGCAGACGCTTCTTCTGTATCAAACACATCTTTGGCATGAGCTGATTCATAAAGCGTCAATAAAACTGATGCATCCCTATATACCTACATTTCACCGAACATGCTAATGCATTTCCAATGCTCACCTCTAGAGGGCAGATGTCTGCTTGGCTGTATTAAACCTCATTGAGTTTTAAATCCTCCTCCCTAACTGCAATCCAGTGATCTCTCTGAGAATCAAACAAAACTATCTCTCTCAATGTGAGCAGAGCCCTCTAAAAAGACAGTGACTATACATCTCATGACTATAAAAAGAGCTCTTTACCAGCATCGGGCGGGTTGAGGAGGTGTTTGTGTGGCAAAAATGCGGGATCTGCCATCAATGATACATACAGTATTGACAAGATGTGCGCAGCGAGTCCCCACCTCCGTCTTGTGCTGTTTTGCACGTATTAAACGCTGTACGTAGGATCAGTTTTGACACAAAGGTTGAAGAAGAACAATCCAAACAAATTCCACTGGTTGATTTAGGCAGAACAAAAACGGCACGGCGAGTTCGGCGACTAAACAAACTCATTTTTGCATAATATTACATAACATACATAGTAAAGCTAAACTAAAAACAAAAAAATATATATTAGTTATATATTATATAGTAATTTTATATAACATATATACTGTAAAAACTTTTGCCATTAAAATTTTGCACAATAATATATTAGCTTAACCAATCAGATTTCAGAGATAAAATGATCCATTTTATAAATAGTTCTTTGAACTTGTGTGTGTGTTTATTTAAAAAAAAAAATTATTTAATCTCCCTTGGTTGCTCTTATGCTGAAAATAACATCTCTCACGCTGTTAATCCGATTTATCATCGTGGTTTTTCAGAGTCTGGAGAATGTTCAGTACCACAGATAAGATAAGATAAGATAAGATAAGATAAGATAAGATAAGATAATCAAGCCCAGATTGTACTCGAAGGGCGCTTTGTACACTGTTTAGGAACACAAGGTGGATTCTAGACCAGAAAACAGGGAAATTGTCCCTGGAGCTATTCCAAAACCAGTAAATCCAGTTCACACACACTGAACAATATGGGAATGTTTGAACACGTTTCACATGTCCTGTTGAGTGCAATGGCTCTGCAGCTGTGGGTATCGGTGCTAGGTTTCTTACACCACTGAATTAGACCAAGAAAGCTATTTGGAGCTTGCATTTCTCCTGTTATATACAAAACCTCTTCTAATCCACAAAACCTTTAAAGTTACTGAAAATGTCTGATCAGAGTCTGACAAGAATGGAAAAACTTTCTAAAAAAAAAAAAATCTAGTTTGCATTAGGTTTGGACTTGTAATGTTTGTTTTAACTTTAATGCAACTCATTCTGCATACACCCACACACTCTGCATTTTTAAGTCTGAGCTGTGAGAATCCCTGCATCTGGGTCTGCAGGCACGAAATGAAACTAAAAAAGGCAAATTTGACAGTACCGGTCAGGTCAGATCACAGGGTCTCGCTTAGGCCCAGGATAAGGTTTCAGTTTAATGCTCATGCATGCATACATACATACATATATCGGAGTATTGCTTTTCACTTGTTGCAACGATTTAATTGCACTTTCATAGAAAGCCCGAACTATTAATGAAAAGTATAAATTCCTGTAGGTGCTAGCAATGCATGATCATGAAAATGCACAAACTAAAATAAAAAAAAGTTTTGCATGTGTCAAATGCATACATGTAGCCTAAATAAATGAAAATATAATCAGAATACAAATGATAATTAATAACTTTCATATTCTTTGCAACGTTAATTAATTTAGTCTTTAGTTTGAATTCATTGAAAATTATAAACAAATCAGTAATGAGTCACATCATGTCATTGTTTTCCAGCAAAACTGTTTAAGAAATGTTTAAAATATATTTTCACAAAATAAAAATGTTGCTTGAATAATTCTTCTATCGGTCAGACCAGGGGGGGAAAAAGAAAATAAAAATTTTGCTAAAATAATCCTCCATCAGTGAGACCAGAGGGAAAAAAAATACTTATTGTAGACCTTAACCTCAAAGTAACCTACTACACTTACAGAATTGTGTAGAAATAATTTTCAAACATAAACTGCTAGTAAATTTCACAAATAATTACAAAGAATTAGGGCTGCACGATATATCGAAAATACCGAAATATCGAAAACGCAAATATCACGATATGCATATCGCAACGGCGTGCGATATCTGAATCATTTTAATAATAGGCTACTTAAATCAAAACGTTGCAAAAGGTCAAAGTTTTAGTTCGACGCATATAGCAGAGAATTGCTTGACGTTAAAAAGAGTTCAATAGTGCAATACGTTAACAGAAAACAACCCTTTGCCGTCTCGTCTTGCTGTCTGACAGACTCACACCTGAAGCGCACAAGCCGCATCTCGCGCAGCGTCTCTTCAGTTCTGCCGCACACGTGCAAACACTGCTGGTCACTTTCAGAAGTTGTAGTGATTCTTTCTTTTCCAAGAAAGAATGTGAAACAAATTGGTTATATAATTTTCATTTTTAAATATTTTAAAATATAATTTAAATAGATTTTTCACACTTTAACCAATATCGTATCGCATATCGAATATCGCATTTTTTAGCAAGGTATCGCGTATCGCATTTTTTTTCAATATCGCACAGCCCTACAAAGAATCAACAAGCAACACTCAATTAAATGTGAAATTCTAAGTAGAAAGACTTATTTTCTTTATTTTCTTGTAAAGCATACTTCAATAACTTCAATAAGTTCTTTGTTTTATTTACAACTTTGAAAAATCATTTACATTGTAGAAACATACTTGCCACAAGATATCGGTCTGTTGTAAATCATATTAAAAAGCTGTATTTAATATAATAGCATGATGGTTTAATAATCACTATTGGTTTTCATAGCTTTGAGCGGTTGTGCTGTTCTATTTTTAGCGAAATGCTGGCAAACTCTCCAAACAGAATCCCGAAATGCTAAAAATGTAATTCATAATCTGTTGCTATTTTTATCAACTGCACGTGTGCGTGTTTGTTTGTGTATCTATTAGGGCTGTGCAATTTGGGGGAAAATATCAAATTGCGATTTTTTTGACAGATATTGCGATTGCGATTTGATTTGCGATTTTAAATTTGCAAAGTCAAGCTTCAGCTCAATATTGCCAATAATGTGCAGCACAGTATGGGTATCATTACCCTGCTGAAAAAAACAATAGAAACCAGTGCTGATTGGGGAGAACGGAGGTGCGCTCACTCTATTGGTTAGTAAGACTGCAACTCAAGGCTGGCAGTCATGCATATGCTCTGGAACAGAGTAATATCGCGTCCATATCGCAGGCTTTGCGATTAGGAAATCGCAACGTCTCAAATCGCGATTTCGATTCGATTTCGATTAATCGCACAGCCCTAGTATCTATGTAAGAAAAGGCAGAAAAAAGAAGAGCGAGAGGAAGGAAGAGAGAGAGAGAGAGAGAGCGCCACTGTATCTCAGTGAATGTTTATTCACTTTAAGCACTTATGAGGTTCTGATATGTATAACCACACACACACCCACACACACAGGCCCTTTCTGCACCTCACCTTCTCTTTCTGACCTTCCTTTGTTTACGCGCATTGGCGGGATACTCCCTTTGATTCGGTGGCGCGCACACACACGTGACGCCCTCCACCAGTGAGTGCTCTGCAGTGCTGTGCTATAAATAGCTCCTGCTTGCCCCGGCTGTGCTGTTCCTTTACATAAGCGCTGGCGGAGGGAGGAGGGGGACAGACAGCCCAACCACAATCTCCATACAGCCGGGCCTGCAGAACGAACGCCACACACAACTGGGATCTCTCTCTCTCTCTCTCTCTCTCTCGCTCGCTCGCTCGGACTGCTGCTTTCACTGTTTCTGTAGAAATGTCCTCTATCACAACGGCACAGTCTCAGGCTCTCCGACCCACTTCCGTACAAACACGTATTTGTGTGACATAGACATGTAATCCGTTTTCTTTGAGGCCCAAAATAGACATGCAATATGTAATAGAAACAAACACAGACAGATCATGCAATCGTGTAAAGATTAGGCTTGCCGCGATAGACGGTGTTGACGGTGATACCGGTGTTAAGCCGCAACACCGGTTACGTCACATGATCACCGCGTCACCGACCCCCACCGTCGTTTTGATTTTTTATAGAAATAAAAATCATTTAGTTCAGTAAAAGAAAAGACACTACAATTAAAAACTGAACGCGGCTGCTCAATGCAGCGTGCCGAACGACAGTCGCATCACAGATCAGATTT